ACAGGACCAGGAGGCCAACCCAGATAGTTAAGCTGCCCACACAGCTGCCCCAGGGGCACTACCTGGGAGTCAGTGAGGTAAACACCATGGTTCCGGGCATAGGCTGGGCTCCCTGGAAGGGCAATCACTCTGGCTCCTCGGAAGTTGTCCCAGCTGATCCCTGTGAGTGGGGCAGTTAGGAGGTTCCCCAGAGGCCTCAACCCAAGACAGGGGTCCCCAACCAGGAGGAGACAAGAGCAGAGGCAGGGACATCCAGACAACTCTAAAGGTAATATGGTTTCCAAAGCCAAAGGGACACTCAATTCCTCTGGCAGAATGACAACACCTTCCCTCCCAAAATTCTTCCACAGAGCCCTGCAAGGCAGAAGGGGCAGAGCTGGGTATCTCCATCCTACAACCAGGAAGACAGAGGCCCAGTAGGGGAAGCTTTCGGTCTGGGCTTCAATCTCCACACCCTACAGTTCCCTTTCTGAACAGGGCAGCAGGCCAGGCCCAGAGACCAAATGAAGAAAGGCATCTGGCTGTGGCCCGAGAAGGCAGTCCCAAGGCTTCTCAGGCTCACCTGGGTTTGGAGGAACAGACAGCAGCATGTCAGTGCTGCAAACCCACACACCTGGTGGGGAGCCTGGGGCCAGCTGTGGAGAGAGACAGAATGCAGCTGGTGGCCTGGTCCCGCCCTTCCTCTGCTCCCACACAGCCCAGGTTCGGCCTGTTCTGTGCACTCCAACAGCCAACTGTCCAGGAGGACCCTGTCTGCTGAGGTTAAGAGGGCTTCCCCTGACCTGTGGTGCTGATGCCGACCCTCCCCCATCCTCTGAGGGCCACCTCCCCACCAATGAGGCCAATACTAACCTTCTGAAGGTCTAACTCTTCCTGGCATCTCCTGTCTGCGCCAGCACAGACTATACAGCTGGCGGTGCAGCGGGAGGGGTGTGGCTGTCTCTGGGATGTGGTCCCGTCGTTACGGCCAGTCTTACCCGATGGCTCATGATGTCCAACAAGCAGTCCAGGTTGCAGACCACAGCCTCCACAGGAGCCTGGGGGTTCTCCACAGGGAGGCAGGTGAAGGCCCTGCCACAGTCGTCAAAAGGGAAGTCTAGGCCCTAGGAAGGGACCAAGGGCAGAAGAATGAACCCTTGGGGCAGAGAGCCTGGGAACACCCTATCAGCTGTGCACAGGTAGGAAGCCATCAACCTAGAAGACTTTTTTTGTTTTGTTTTGTTTTTTTTAGAAGACTTTTAAAAATGTGTTTTCTCAGGGCTCTTGGCTGGCTCAGTCAGTGGAGCATGCAACTCTTGATCTTGGAGTCGTGAGTTCGAGTGTTGGGCATGGAGCCTACCTAATAAATCAATAACTTAAAAAGCGTTTTCTCAGAGGTTTTTTCTTATAATGTTTTCAATTACATGATTATGGTGAAAAATTAGAAAATGCAGATCTGCAGAAAGAAAACAGTTCCTCAGGGATGATAGCCATTGCCCCCATTTTGAGGTATATCCTTTCAGACATTTAATTTTTTTAAATGAGATTATGAGGGGTGCCTGGGTGGCTCAGTCAGTTAAGCGTCTGACTTCAGCTCAGGTCATGATCTCACGGTTCATGGGTTCGAGCCCCGCGTCGGGCTCTGTGCTGAC